CGGATGCTTTGACCCAGCAGCCGAAAAAGCCAGCAAGACCGAACATCACCCAGCCGGATGCCCTGACCCAGCAGCCGAAGAAGCCAGCAGAACCAAACATCACCCAGCCGGATGCTTTGACCCAGCAGCCGAAGAAACCAGCAAGACCGAACATCACCCAGCCGGATGCCCAGACCCAGCAGCCGAAGAAGCCAGCATTACCGAGCATCACCCAGCTGGATGCTTTGACCCAGCAGCCGAAAAAGCCAGCAGAACCAAACATCACCCAGCTGGATGCTTTGACCCAGCAGCCGAAAAAGCCAGCAGAACCAAACATCACCCAGCCGGATGCTTTGACCCAGCAGCCGAAAAAGCCAGCAGAACCAAACATCACCCAGCCGGATGCTTTGACCCAGCAGCCGAAGAAGCCAGAAGGACCGAACATCATCCAGCCGGATGCCCTGACCCAGCTTCAAGACGAGGCGTGAGTTCCTCATTAATTTGCTTTAATATTTTATCAGTAAACATATCTTTCCAGTAAATGTGAGCGTAAATATGAAGTTATAATCGAAACATACGGTGATATGTAATGGGACGCCTGTCGGAGACCACCACTGCCGTGCTTCGAATGGACTATCATGACCCCTTCCCGAAAGAACGTAGCCTACAACACTTCTTGACTGTAACACTATCAGCCGCACGCCACCAGACAGATCACATCCGTTGAATTAGACCAATAGCCCACAGGAAAATAGCCTGACGTCGTATGGCCCAGCGTCGTCCGCCAATACGCAAAAAATTTTTACACCACCCGGACGGAGCGCGCCGGAGCCGTCCGTAAATGTCCCGTGTGTCGAATCAGCCTGCGGTCGAACGGCCACGCGTCGTACGACGATAAATTTTGCAACAGAACTATGCTACCTGAAACCTACCCCAGATGCTGTGAGCTAAAAGTTACGTAATTTAGCGAAGGTTCGGAAGTCACTCGCCGGCGGACGATAGATTTTGGAACGTAATTATTAATACTAAACTATTGAGCTAAAAGCGTAGCGTAATACAGATGGTATCACGGCACCGTAACGACACATCCCGCACCATGTTACAGATGGCATCACAGCACCATAACGTAACGTTACACCCCGTAACGCGTTACAGATGGTATCACCAGCACCATAACGTAACGTAACACCCCGTAACGTGATACAGATGGTACCACAGCACCATTACGTAACGTAACAGGGTACGCAGCCGTGCACCACCAAATTTGTGCACAAATCAGCCTTGAAAGGAACGCCTAGCATATTTCCGGATGACCACCAATCAGCCGCGGATTAAGCCATCCGTCGGTAACCAGCCCATGACATCATCTTGCTTTGAATATTAGGAGCTTTACGCCCTGTCTCTTATACACATCTACGTGTTGAGTTGCGTACAGGTTCCGTGTAACGTGTTGAGTTGCGTACAGGTTCCGTGTAACGTGTTGAGTTGCGTACAGGTTCCGTGTAACGTGTTGAGTTGCGTACAGGTTCCGTGTAACGTGTTGAGTTGCGTACAGGTTCCGTGTAACGTGTTGAGTTGCGTACAGGTTCCGTGTAACGTGTTGAGTTGCGTACAGGTTCCGTGTAACGTGTTGAGTTGCGTACAGGTTCCGTGTAACGTGTTGAGTTGCGTACAGGTTCCGTGTAACGTGTTGAGTTGCGTACAGGTTCCGTGTAACGTGTTGAGTTGCGTACAGGTTCCGTGTAACGTGTTGAGTTGCGTACAGGTTCCGTGTAACGTGTTGAGTTGCGTACAGGTTCCGTGTAACGTGTTGAGTTGCGTACAGGTTCCGTGTAACGTGTTGAGTTGCGTACAGGTTCCGTGTAACGTGTTGAGTTGCGNACCTTGTTCATCCCCTCTCCACACCTTGTTCATCCCCTCTCCACACCTTGTTCATCCCCTCTCCACACCTTGTTCATCCCCTCTCCACACCTTGTTCATCCCTCTAAACACCTTCTTCATATTTGAGATTAGTTCATCCATTCATTCTTCATTCTAAGTTCTGCAGGCGGTGTGTCCACTTTTTCGTGTCATGTCCAGTCCTCTAACCGTAAAGGCTGAAAGAATGTAATTCATTTCTTCAATTTTCTAGGCATCTGATGGTGCAAATTTAGTGACAGAACCTTTAAGTTTTCGGATTTTTGGTGCAAACTTAAGCTCAGCAGTAACGATCTATTGACAGTTACAAGCAAGTGCGTTACGTTTGATGGAGCCTTATCTACGATCAACTAACTCTTATAAATTAACCTGGCCTCACAGGCAACAGAAGATCTTGGTATAAGTAGGGTAAACTGGACATTTTTCGAGAGAGGTGGCGTATAGTGTGGAGTTTATGATGGTCGCGGTAATACGGGTTGTGAAGTAGGGTTTCTAGTGTATTAATTCAGTAATGGGATATTGATCACCCGTCCTGCCAACAACACGCCTGCAAGTCAGCATTAAATGTTGATGTGATGTTAATACCATTTCACTCCTGTTCGCCTCATATTCAACATCCTTTATCAATGTTTGGCTCATATATACTGTTTCTTCGCGCTTCCTGTTCACTACTTATTAACTTGCCTTCCACGAGTTGTTTACTACCTGTCAGCGGCCTGTCGCAGTCACCTGTCCACCACCTCATCACCACCTAACCACCACCTAGCCACCACCTAACCACCACCTAACCACCTGTCTACCACATGACCACCTGTCCACCACCTAACACCTGTCCACCACCTAAACACCTGTCCACCTCCTAACCACCACCTAGCAACCACCTAACCACCACCTAACCACCACCTAACCACCACCTAACCACCCCTCAATCATCACTCAATCATCACTCAATCATCACTCAATCANCCTAACCCCCACCTAACCACCACCTAACCACCACCTGTTCACCCCAGTTGTGGACACTCCTCCTGACGAAGCCCTACGTTTTCGCCACGTCAACATCAAGCAGCGGGATCAGCTCTACCAGGTCTGGGGGAACAAGAAATTCGATTCCATCCGCGACCTGATCGCCTTCTTCCGCTCCCCTGAAGGCTGGAGGCGCTTGGGGACACCTGTACCAAAAACTCAAAAAACCACTTAATGAAAATTTTTAAAAACACTTAACTTAAAAAAAAAAACTTTAAAAAAGCAATCAGTTACCGTCATTAATTTAGAGTCTAGAAAGAATGAGTGCCAATATTTCTGCATTTCTTAATATCTTTTGTCATTAAAAGAAATTTTACTAAATAAGTTCACCTACAGACTATCATTGATTTTACGAGTGGCAAAAATGATTTTTAACACTTACTTTACAAGCTAATCACTGGCAGTAATTTATTAGTCTACCCTGGTTCATTAATCAAACTCCACATGATTTGACCTAATAAAAGAGAAAATTGTTTGCAAATATTTTCATTTTGCTTGACAATGTGAATCCTATCGATTTTTGATAGTGATTCCACAGCTTATATAAAGTTGTAAGGATATCATTTGTATTTCTGCAATACATTGAAACTTCCGTTCGTCCGAGCCATGCGATCTAATGTACTGCGTCTCAAGCGTGTACCTGTCTCTTATACACATCTAGATGTGTATAAGAGNCAAGCGTGTACTGCGTCTCAAGCGTGTACTGCGTCTCAAGCGTGTACTGCGTCTCGAGCGTGTACTGCGTCTCCAGCCTGTACTGCGTCCACAATAAATAGATGTTGAGCTGTTGCGGGTTCGAGCCCGCCGTTCATTATCATTTTATGTAATTAGTGTTTATTTGAATTTATGTGCATTCCGATTATCTTGCCGTTAATTTATTCGTGTTATTTTGTTAATGTTGTAGTGCAGAGCGGAGTCAAGTCCATTTGTAGTGCAGAGCGGAGTCAAGTCCATATGTAGTGCACAGTGGAGTCAAGTCCATATGTAGGGCAGAGCAGAGTCAAGTCCATTTGTAGGGCAGAGTGGAGTCAAGTCCATTTGTAGTGCAGAGCGGAGTCAAGTCCATTTGTAGGGCAGAGTGGAGTCAAGTCCATTTGTAGGGCAGAGTGTAGTCAAGTCCATTTGTAGTGCAGAGCGGAGTCAAGTCCATTTGTAGTGCAGAGCGGAGTCAAGTCCATTTGTAGTGCAGAGCGGAGTCAAGTCCATTTGTAGTGCAGAGCGGAGTCAAGTCCATTTGTAGTGCAGAGCGGATTTAAGTCCATTTATAGGGCAGAGCGGATTTAAGTCCATTTCGCTGATTCCTCACGACTTTCATACTCTTGACGATTTCTTGCTAAAATAGGGAGATTTTTGCTTAGTTTTTTTTCCCAGATCGAATTAACACTTGTCATGTTATGAATGGACAACATTCTATCAAAAGTTTTCTCATACTTACACAACTCACAACATGGGAAAGTCAAATTAGCAGCTTTAAATGACTCCACTCATTCATTTCGGTCCGTGCATTTGGTTTAAGTTAAAATGTTTGCTAAGTCGAGTTTTTTCCAGGCGAGAACCTGAATTTAAATGATTATATATTTTAGGACACTTAAAGGAGGCAGGGTTATTTAGGGAATATTAATCGACGGACTCATTCAAAAAATATCCTCAAATTTCAAGACAATTATAACTACCCTATGATTATTATTATAATTAAAATTGTTAATCTCAAATCTAGACAGTATGCATGGTATTTTGTAGACTTGAAGTCGCTTGCGTCCAAAGAGCAGATAACTGATACATGACGTCGTATGATTTTTTGTAAAAAATAATTCGATAAATCGTTGACCTTGAATTATAGCAAATCAAAAAACGCGAGAGTAATCGTGATCTATAAATTATGATTAGCTGCCAATAACAAAAGAATTGCCTTGACCAAATTAAAAAGTTAAATGAAAAAAATGCCTACCAGACATGCATTAATTGTTTTCAAACTACGTTAGTCACCAATAAATACGGGATTTTATAAACACATAATCTTATATCATAATTGTTTTCACTGATGTCCAATTAAATCAGTTTAAATATTTTTTTCGCTCATCATCATAAATGAAAGTGCCCGCTGGTAAAAAGCTAATGTGTGGTGTTTCACGTGAATTCCTTTCTGCAGTCCCCAATTTACATTAACAATAGAATGTATACTGAAACGACGAGTTTGGGTATGAATTCGTATCGGCTTGCTCAGGAGAATCGCCCACTCGCATTTACTTCGAGTCGACAGAGATAAACCCACAATTTATTTTTCACTGCACATCTGCAAAATTTCTTGAAGGAAAATTGATTTTTATATCTTCGAATATTTAGTCGAATTTGCCGTGCTCCGTACATATAACTAATACTAATCATCAACGTGCTCACCTTGCCTGGTTATTACAAATTATTAAAAGAGCTCCCAGAGACAGCTATATCAGCTGGCGATGGCATTGCGAGCGGTATCACAGATAAGAACGTCAATATAGAATGTTCACGGCACAAGACATGGCATCATGTTAGTGCACTCATGGGAGGCGTGTGACTAGTGTGAGGCTGGTATAAGGCAGTGTGTGGTATAGTGTGGGGCTAGTGTGAGGCTGGCATAAGGCTAGTGTGTGGTATAGTTTGGGAATAGTGTGAGGCTGGTATAAGGCAGTGTGTGATATAGTGTGAGGCTGGTATAAGGCAGCTTGTGGTATAGTTTGGGATAGTGTGAGGCTGGTATAAGGCTAATGTGTGGTATAGTGTGTGGCTAGTGTGAGGCTGGTATACCGTATAAGACTAGTATGTGGTTAGTCTGAGGCTGGTAAAGGCAGTGTGAAGTAAAGTGTGTGTCTAGTAAGTATAGTAAGAGCCTAGTGAGTGACTGCATGGTGTGTGACTAGTAAGTGGCCAATTAAATATACATAAGTTCCAACACACATTTTGCACAGAATATTGAACTTCAATTCGATTTTCGTTTAAAAAAAATAAAAAACAATTTAACGTCATTTAAATTAAATTACCTATCAATTGCAAACTCAACTTATAATTTTTTATCCAATCCTTACCTCCCAACATTGCAATTCTTTACTTATCTCTCCCACAAAGAATAATTCTCTCCCCACCATATACAATATCCCGACACGATAAGTATCCTGGATACGCGCCCCAACAGCCCCTACATTTGCGATGCCATGTTTTAAACACACACAAAGATAATATACAAACATAAATATTTAAATCCATATGAAATAAATCAATGTAATTTGCATTTCAGAATATGTATTTAGTAATACAATATATTCCGCTAACTGATCAATACTGAGGGTCAATAGAGACAATGAATTTGTTTGATATCTGTTGCTGCAAGGAGACCCAGATAGCACATCATGATGGTATCCGTGATACCAAGAACTTGAGAGGCCTCAATCAAAACACACGCGGGCCGCTTTCGACACGCTTATTTGCATAATATTGTACCTTTCAAAAACCTGAAAAAGGGTAAATTTTTTAAACAAGCTTTTCATGATGTTCCAACGGCGTTCAATTGTAACAAAAATATATTTTGAATTTGAAATTGCTACAAGCTTTCTTAGTGTTCCTTCAATGCTAAACTGTAGCGAAAGACAACAAAAATTTGAATCTTTTCACGTGGCTTTCAAAGGCTTTGGCAAATTTCAGGTCCTGTAAATATCACGACACGGTAGATATTGCGCACACGCTCTATAACAATTTTCGTAAATTGCACCACCAGGATAGTGTAGAAAGAAAGAGTAAAAGGAAGGGGTTGACATGCAAGGACAAAGAAGAATCTGAATCAAGGGCCTAAATAATTTGTAAAAATAATTTCAAATTCATTATGATGGATAAACTCTAAAATGTTCATAATTGAACACGAAAATAACAAAAATGCATGGAAAAGACTTGGAAATGTATAAAAATGTAAGCATCAAATATTGACATATAATAATTTCATAAAGAATTGCGAAAGATAAAGGCAAATATAAGAAAGAAAGCTGAATGGACTTTTGAAACTCGTTCAGAAAACTTTTGAAAAATTGACGAGAACTGAACGGCAAATGTTGAAAGAATTTGCGAAAGTGAATGAGCAAGGAATAAATCAATTTCATTATTTCGGAAAAAATGATAAAAATCGTAACATTTACAAGAAATAAATTCTTAAAAATTGGTTGAAAATGAATTCGAATGAATGAAAATTTGATCGAAAATGTTTCGATAAAATGTGTCTAACATACGGCTTAAGTGTGCAGTGCGCCATGCGGCCAATTTACGCACCACACACCTGGGCCCATACTTTCAAAAAAGTTAAGAGATCGTAAGTTCATCAGCCAATCATTGACGGCCTTTCAAGCAAAATCCACCAATCATAGACAAGAAAATAGAGCGTAAGTACTTACGTTCACATAGCGAGTTAGGCCAAAGTATGGCCCCTGAGAGCTAGTGTCGCATCATATCTGTTCCTCAGGACAGCTGAAATGATGCAGGCGCTCGTATCCGTGATACCAAACGTGCCATCAAAACAAGCCGCAAACAAACAACCCCAATAATCTTGAGTATGTTTGTCAGCGTTTGCGTGTCTGAAGCCTGGCAACACATTTATATACGGGCCGTTGGTGATGTATTCAGGATACCTATCGTGTCAGGATATTGTAAGTTGGGCCTGTTGGGGCCCGTATACCAAGGATACTTTTCTGTCGGGATATTGTGAATATCCGAGATTGGGGTGCGTATCCCGGATACTTATCATTTCTGGATTTTACCTGAACCTGAAAATTTTTCTTCGTGCAAGAAAATCAATGGAAGGAAAGTACATTGATTGGAATTTAGTCCTGATATCTTGATTTGTGTACATACATTTTTCGTGTTAGCGTGGTTCGGCAGAATGTGTTTCTTTATACACGTGCGATCAATGAATCGAGATTCATTAGCCTTAAATTTCCAGGTACTCTAGCAATTCTTCGGATGACCTTAGTAGATCAATCGGCAGTTTTCAGAAAGTAATTTCAATACGTGAACAACAATTCTCAATTCTTTTAGTAGAAAAATGAAAAGTTTGAACGCATTTTAAAACAAGAGTAAACGTATTGATTCTTCACCGGTCTAACCCGCTAGTGCAAAACACAATACAGATTTCTAATTTCTCACACTAATTAATACTTTATAACACTTACCTCCTCCCGCCAAGAGCATCCCTGCCCCGTAACAATGGGTGACAACGTTATCAAGTATCCCCAGGGCGCTATAGTCGAAGTGGAGGCGCATAACGTGTTGCAGGTTACAACGGGTGACGTTTTACTAGTTATAGCTGAGCAGACCGACCCCCAGTGGGTGTACTGCAGAAACCTTTTGGGGGCAGCAGGTTACGTCCACTGTAACCTGCTACGTTACAGCAGCAGTGGATGGTGAGTAAAACATGATAGTTGATGTGTGAATGTGTACGAATGACGTGGTAAAGTACGAGTGTCCGCGTATCTGCGTGCACACGGCGTGTTAAAGTACGAGTGTCCGCGTATCTGCGTGCACACGGCGTGTTAAAGTACGAGTGTCCACGTTTCTGGGTGCACACGGCGTGTTAAAGTACGAGTGTCCGCGTATCTGCGTGCACACGGCGTGTGAAAGTACGAGTGTCCGCGTATCTGCGTGCACACGGCGTGTTAAAGTACGAGTGTCCACGTTTATGGGTGCACATGGCGTGTTAAAGTTCGAGTGTCCACGTTTATGGGTGCACATGGCATGTTAAAGTTCGAGTGTCCACGTTGGTGGGTGCACATGGCGTGTTGAAGTACGAGTGTCCATGTTTCTGGGTGCACATGGCGTGTTGAAGTACGAGTTTCCATGTTTCTGGATGCACATGGTGTGTTGAAGTACATGTTTCCGCGTATCTGCGTGCCTACGGCGCATTGATGTGTATTTCTCTTTCCAGCGACGACTACTGGGACGACACGTCTGATACATCAGAGTCACTAGATGGTGAGATACCAGGGTTGCTGATCCCTGATACCAGAATTGTCAATATTGTTTGCTGATACTGAATGCCAACAACTCAGGTAGCAATATCATTATGAACAATAAGACCGATGTGCTGCCATGGCAGTGAAAGTTTCAACTCAAAGCTCTGGCAGGAATAGCGTTTTGAAATAATAAATAGACAGGCCTGCCACCTCACGTGTATTTGTTATTTCTTTTGTCAATTAAGGATTTTATCTACAACGTAAATTCAAATTTTCTGATAAGATTACACTATTTGGTAACGTCCCTATAAGTCCAGTCACAAGCGGGGTAGGAGCAGCATTTTAATAAAAGAATTGCGAATGTCGTAATCAACCGTAAAACCTGATCTTCTTTTCATAGAAAGTGACGAAGGAAGCATGATGGAGGATTTGGATCAAAGTTCACTGCCGGACCTCCACGCCAGGAACTTCGCCAGGATGATGGAGATCCTGAAGGCCTTAAAACACAAGGCCATGGGAAGACAGGGGAATGGTGAAGACGGGGTAAACGAAAAAGAAATTATTGAGCAAGGAATATCTGCACAAGAAATAACGAGGGATGAATTGTTCGATGGACAAACAAGAAATGGCAGCGAAGATAACAAAAACAGGGATGAAGGCAAAGGAAACGAAAGGGGCTTTAGAAGGGCATTGCAGTGCACGCCAAACAACGCCAAGAAGATCGCTAAAAGTCTGTACGAACTCTCCGTGCGTTCAAAAAACATGTGCACGAACTTCCTCAGGGAGTTCACGATCAGCAAATACGGATATGAGCCCTTGCCGTCTCTCACTAGTACTCCTGCTACTTCGCTGTCCGGCCGCTACAAGACATCCACTAGTGGAAGCTACAGCCCCAACCCTTCCTCTAATAAAAGTTACAGCCATAACCCCACTAGGGCTAGAAATAGCATGTCCAACCTTTTCTCGGCTGATCCACAAACCCAGGTTCCAGTATATCAAAGTCACCGATCAAAATATATACAAAATTTTGACGATGTCCCTAACCCTCCTCGGGCGGAGGAATATAACCCTCACCGTCATCAGTTGCAAGACTACGACCCTAATCCCTATGGCTTGGAGGAATATAACCCAAACCCTCATACCTCCCGCAACGACAAGTCTTCCCCCGCCTACGCCAACTGCCCAGCGGGTAACACCTTCTTGGCGGCGGGCTGCAGCGACCCCACGTCCGCCCCCGACCTCCCACGGGACGGAGCACTCCGCCCTCCAGGTACCCTAAGGGGCAGATACAGCTGTGAAAAGGACGTACTAAGAACGTTGTCAACGTACCATGAACGTTATCGACGTACTATAGATAAACGTTGACCAACACATACTGTGCAGCATAGAAAGTATATTTAGTTGGCATATTAATATCAGCTACTTGACAAAAAAATTTAAAGTATGAACAACATACTGCATGCTGATGAATAATGATGACCTATATCGACAATTAAAAACAGTGTTTGATCATAAATAATTAACGGTATGTGTGTTGTACAATTGATTTATACGCCGCTATAGCTCATTATATCATTGCAGGGCATCAGAACTGGCGGCACAGCGGGTGAGTAACTAAGACTCATATTGTACCCATATCATGAGTCAGCTGAAATTCAGTCCATTGATCTTTATTAAAGAAAGTTATGGAGGTGGCCTATCCCATATGCGGACGATGTAATTATCTGGTAAGTCCGGCGTCCCCCGTGTTAATACTGCAATAATCATACAATGCTGGAATCCCAAGATACCGAAATCCGTCATTCCCGTAATACCGCCGATGATAAGAAAGCCTGCACTCTAATTAAAGAGATGCCCATTCAAACTAGAATTTCAACTAGAATTTTCAAACTAGAATCTCGTTCCTGAATACGAAAAATATATATTGTGCCTTTTAACTTTATTTAATATGCAGGTATTATAAAAGTAAATACCAATTCTAGATCCGTTCATTCCCTCTTAATGCCCCAAATCCTTCCCTGTTCACCCGCTATGAATAAATTTCCAAATTCAGGTCATAACCGACACGATAAGTATCCTGGATACGCGCCCCAACAGCCCCAATCCAGGATACTTATCGTGTCGGGATATTGTATATAGGGGCTGTTGAGGCGCGTATCCAGGATACTTATCGTGTCGGGATATTACCTGGACATCAAATTATATTCTTAGTGGGTCACCAGAAATTTATCGTAGAGCCGCAGGGGCGGGTTGGCCCAAGAAATGAAATTTGATCATCAAATTCGTATAAAAAACAATTAATTTAAGAGGCCTAAATTAGTTTTCAATTTTTGAAACAAGAGTTCAATTTTCAATGTAAAATATTGGTTTGAACGGGTCCTCATTCAATTAGCATGCACTATAAAATGTTTTTATTTTTATTTATACATAGTTTTAGGTGCACGTTTGTTTTGTTGCGAGCATATGAGTTTCTCTTGTGTCATTCCAGAGCTGTCAACCTAGACACTCTACATACCGAAACCCAGCTGCAGCAGAAGTCAACTGAAATTTCTGGAAATAGTTTGAGCCAGCTTAATCATGTGCAGCTGCAGAACGAAGAGTGAGTCAGGCATATCTTGGGCAATCATTTATTATAATATCCCGCTGTTTGATTCAAATGGTTAAGGGTGAGGTATCATGATGACATGTGCAAGTTTGCCAAGCACGACCCCTCCATCGAAAGCAGAGGTGATTGGCCTCGCTGAGCCAGCGGGGTGTCATCTTCGGCGACGTTGAGTTAGCGAGAGTATTGGGCACTATAGACTAGGTCCGGATGTTGAAGGGCTTTAACTTCCATAACAGGGGCCAATTTATTATGGAGGTCAAAGTCCTAATCTGGACTGAGAGCATGCACACTGCACGGGGCCTGGACTCTCGTATCGGAGGTTTGCACCTGACCAGTGATAGGTGGTTTTTTCCTGGCAATTATTGGCACTGACCTAATGTGGTAACCAGGCTGAAGCTAGCGTACGCTCTATGGCAAGATAACACCCATGCTCGTTGGGTAACCGGCAGTAACAGTAGAAGCCTGTAAGAGGGTATGTGATCCAGATCTGCAGTTTGTACGAGGATGCGCTGGTCATAAGTCAAGGGGTTGGGAAGATTGAAACCAAGAATTCACGATCACGGCACTTGGGGGGAGGGGTTCTCCTCGTGCAATGCCGACTCCGTAACCAGACTGTTTTGTCAAGCCTGGGGGGAGCCAGCTTTCACTGGAATTGATCACGTAACAGAGCAGCGGGATTGACCAAGTCACAGAGCTGCGGGATTGATCAAATAACAAAACTGTGCATGCGTAACTCTCGGGGTTGGCCAAAGGTGCCCTTCGCTCAAGCGTTTATAGTATATATCAGAGGTCTTCTCCCATGATAGCTGCTGTGTTTCAATCATTAAGGTTGGAGGATATCGCTCAAGGTCCGCAATTCAGGACAATGTAGTTGTGTTCCTATGTCGGGCTTAACAGGGTATGACTGCAAAATTCAAAACGTAAGAGGTCTGAGAACCGGACGCGGATGCCTACCGAATTGCTTCTGGTGATTGGATACATTGCGACTTGATTTGAAACATTATGACCCTCAATCTTGTTTTCTTGTTGGATTATAAGGGAACGAGGTGAAAGGCAGAGTCGTCGCTGGTTAGGTGGCGATAGTAGGAGCGGTACTGGAGGTTTGTTGATACCTAAGGCCCTCCCAGCACGTGACTAGAAGTACACCCAAACAGCTGGATAATGACGCACGTTTCGGCCCCATTGGCCATTGTTGCCTCGGGTGGAGTTGTGTGTGATAGTCTTATAACGCCGTATTACGTGTTACAGGTGGTACTACGGCGCCGTAACGTAACATAACACCCCGTAACGTGTTAAAGGTGGTACCACAGCACCGTAACGTAATTTAACACTACCGTAACGTGTTACAGATGGTATCACGGCACCATAACACGGCAAGACAGCGAGGCGTTACTCGCGCTGTCCAGCGTGCCGTCCAAAAGTTTCCTTGTGCGCTTCTCGAGCAACACAAACTGCTACGTCATCTCGTGTGAGTTGCTAACAATGCCTATACCTATACGCAGAGCTGGGCAGCGCTACTTTGAAATGTAGCGGCCGCTACCGCTACCTCTACAATTGCTTAAATGTAGCGCCGCTACCGCTACTGCCCACCTCTGCCTATACGAAATAAGTTAAATTTAAGATGTTGAACCCCTTAACTATCATTTAATGTATTCACTCTTTCTTGAACCATCCAATCAAGGGAGTTCTGCTGCTGGCTTCAGCGCGTCTGTCCTCTAGGCGCGGCCTACACGGGAGTGGAACTTTTTTGATGCGCGCACAAGAAAATATAATTTAAAGATTCCCGTTTCCCTTCTAAATTAGCATTAATAGTGACTAAATCAGTACCTATTAATTTACACATTCTACCTTAATGCGTATTACCTATTATAATAAGTATATAAACGTACTTTTGTTGGCTTACAACTTCTGTACAGAAAAAAAAACTGGTGCCACGTCCCGGCCACAGCTGGATACGGTGCGCACAACTGTTTTAATGGATAACTGCGCACAACACTTTTAATAAACATTTTACCTCATTTGTGGTGATACACATTACCTAATTGTTATTGATACACATTATCTCCTAATAATAAACGCATACTAAAATATTATTAACTCTTGGGTTCCTAAAAACGTGTAAAAATGAGAATAGCTCGCCCATACGAGCTTGAGAGCGTGTGAACTTCCATTTACTTACCATTCGATGTAAGGGCCTTTTTTGCTGAGACTTATGTAATCAAGATTAAGAACGGTTATGCGCAACCAAGACCGCAACACTGACAAATTCGTGCGTGAACACTCGTGCGTTCACACAGAAAACGTACACAAACATCTTAAATGAGTGCTCGCGGGTGATGTTTAACAACCATGGCTCGTTAAAACCGAGTTTACATGAGAAAGCCAAGGTTGGCGTGACGGTTGTAATCCACAATCAATCATTCAACCGGTGAACCTTCTTTTAATGTCCAACCTCAAACATCTGTTCGTTCTCCATTCACTTCACGTTCAGCCCTTGTCTAACCTTTCATAATTCTTTCTCCGTTATAATTTCCCCCCAGACAAGGAAAGGTCCCCTATCTCCACCCCCAACATCCACCACACCAACATCAAGCAGCAGGGGCGACGCTACCACGTCTGGGGGAACCTAAGTCCATTTGTAGTGCAGAGCGGAGTCAAGTCCATTTGTAGTGCAGAGCGGATTTAAGTCCATTTATAGGGCAGAGCGGATTTAAGTCCATTTCGCTGATTCCTCACGACTTTCATACTCTTGACGATTTCTTGCTAAAATAGGGAGATTTTTGCTTAGTTTTTTTTCCCAGATCGAATTAACACTTGTCATGTTATGAATGGACAACATTCTATCAAAAGTTTTCTCATACTTACACAACTCACAACATGGGAAAGTCAAATTAGCAGCTTTAAATGACTCCACTCATTCATTTCGGTCCGTGCATTTGGTTTAAGTTAAAATGTTTGCTAAGTCGAGTTTTTTCCAGGCGAGAACCTGAATTTAAATGATTATATATTTTAGGACACTTAAAGGAGGCAGGGTTATTTAGGGAATATTAATCGACGGACTCATTCAAAAAATATCCTCAAATTTCAAGACAATTATAACTACCC